CTCGCATCACATTTCAGATAGTTGCTAAAGGAGCAAGGGTTGTGTAAAAATAACCAAAACACCTGTTGAAGCATTAATAAGTAACACAGCAAGTCAGAAAGATTTATGAAAGAAATATGGTAGCGTTTCACCTGTTTGAGAAAGACTGTGTGGGCAACTAGTTCAGAATATCTATTTGGGCAAATGATGAAGCCAAAACCCATCAGTCAGTCGGTAAAGTTGTTCTGTTTGCTACAAGTGTTGCAGCTTTAACTCGTTATGATTTTATTTTCTTTACCTACCTGAAAAGTAGGTAAAGTTGTGCCAGAAAGTTTAACTCTGCTTCTAATGCATTTATGGATTTCATAATCTACAGTACATAATATGATGAGATGTCTTTGTACACAACAAGCAAGGCCAACAACCAGTACTGAATGACCGTGACCTGCCCTCAGGGAGACCTTCATTAAAAGATTAATAACCAGCTCATTCTGTGGTGGAAATCATTATGTGGGCTCAAGGCCTGTCATTGAATGCATATTGCTGCAGAACTGAGAAAGTACAAATTACATCTGCCATGTGAAAAAAGGAAATCGAATAAACTGGAACCAGAAATACCTCTGCCCTCTTTAAATGCAACTTGCACAATGGTCTGCTGAATATGTTGAGGGAACATTGGCCAAGCAGACATCATTCAACCTCATGTTTAGCCAAATAAAAAAGGAACCTACGCAGCCTCATCTTATCACTGTGCACTGCAGCTAATAAAGTATACATATAACAAGCCATAAACCGTCACAACAGTCTTTAGATATTCAACATCACTGGAAATCTAGCCATGTGGGTATCACGCTTCTGACTGACTCTCATTTTGCAGCGTGTCCACTCACTGTTTCTTTGTTTCTCGGCACAGAAACGTGTGCGCCACACCGTCGCGTCTGAACGAGTTTCTCAGTGGATTCTCTCCTCTCCCTCCCTTTTATCCCCCCGACAGCACTGAGAGCAGAGCAGCACATGAAGCTGCTCACGCTCATATCTCATGTCTCAGAGAATGATATTCAGTTTACTGAGATATCTCTGCTACACAGGCGCCGTCGTCAGAGTGGACTTATTGCAGAAATAGATGCATCATGCCCTCAGCCGCCCGCCAAACTCATCCATCCGCCTCGACAATCACGCTTTAGTGTGAAGCAACAGATGACACCAAATAGATACAGTTAGCGGGAGGTAGTTATTGTGGAGTGTAGCCATGAGATAGAGGTCACTATTGCCGAGGGTTTGAGAGATGGAGGGAAAGGAAATGTTCTGACAATAAATTACATGCTGGATTCACATATTCCATCAGAGGCCTCTGCATGAGATGAATGTTATATATCACTAAAGTGGGTTATTAACCTTGTGACCCACGCAAATGAAATGCAATAAAGTGCATCATTCAGCAAACAGTAATTACAAATCATCTATATCATGGTGTATTTGGGCTCACTTATTTGATGTGTGTTTACACATAACAGTGCATATTGTCAACAATTTTAGATCTTTGTGCGCTATATTTATCCCAAGCGTAACACATTAGCCTGAGAAAATTACAGAAATGTCATGTAGAATCCTCCGTGCCCATAGTTTCAGTTTATTGTTATTAATCTAAAGCATTAAGGAAAGAAAAGGGCCCTCTTGCTATGCACATGAACAAAGACATATGAATACTTGATGGACATTAAATCAGGTGGCAGACTCATTCTCAGCAACCACTCTGTCTAAAGATCAACTTTATGACTTAGATAAATGTCAGGATAACTTTATTGTTTTAGATTTTTTTGTTTCTGGGGGATTTTTTTAGGATTACTTGTCCAAATTTGTTTTTAAAAAAAAGGGGGATTGCCATTAATTCAGACCCGGAACAGTCCATTAATCCTATATCTTTCTAGCCAAGCCTTTTTTTTTCCCTCTTTCTTTTGTTTCTGTTAGTTTCTGACCTCGACCCCACTCCCGCCCATCTCTCGCACTCGCTCACGGCCCCTTGGCACAAAATAAAAGCAAAGAGCTTGTCAGTGACATAAGAGAGCTGTTTTCACTCATGAAAGACATTTCACAAATGTCATTCAGGTCAGCAGCTCCCGCTGGTAATCATGCTGGGACAGTGATTAGGTGAAATTAATCGCCACCCTCTGTTGCTCATGGCTGACAGCCCGGAAGCCTGATAGGCTCTCTCTTCTCAGGTGACTTTGGCAAGTCAGGTGGAGAGGGTGAAAGACATCAAAGCCAAGAAGAAATAGACAAACCCACGTTAGATTAGCACCCAGGAGACAGCACTGAAAAAGTGTGCGTCTGTGTGTGTGTGTGTGTGTGGCATGTTGGTGTAGGTGGAGTGGGGCAATACGTGTGTTTTCATGTAGGTGTCTGCGTTTTTTTGGCGGTGGGTGGGTGGGGGGGGACATGAAAGGGAAGCAGCAATGGTTTGATGTGATAATGAAGTGCCTTCTTTAGTCTTCAGTTTCTCTTTTATCCAAACCGCTCACTTGTGCCTATTTGTCCAACAAATGTTTTGGTAGGCCTGTAAAGTACAAATCTGATTTCTGCTAGTCAAATGGGAATATCATCATCATGTCGGCTTTTATTTGAGGTTTTTTTTCAGTGTAGAAGATTAAAAAAAAAAAAGATAAACCGAGCGTTGTACCCTTTTATGCTCGTCTTGTGAGACTTCCACTGCCTCGCATGCACATTGCATCTAACGTTTGCACTTCTGCGCATCATGCTGCCTCCCCCGCCTCCCATTACAGAGAAACCCAGAGTTTGGAGACTTGTCATGGCTGATAGAGGTGAGCGGGAGTGATGCTACGGTTAGTGCGCTAGAGCGTTTAGCTGTACATGGGCAGATTTACCGGCCTGTGAACCCATAAACCTGCAATTACAAACCCTAACAACTCTGGCGCAGACTGCTTGTACACCGCAGTTTTCCTGTGGGCTCTGGGATTTAAGCTTCACAATCAGTCAAGCGTGACTTCAGAAGCTAATTGCACAAGAGTGACATGCACACACACACACACACACACACACACATGCACAATCCTTCTGGGGGGAGAAAAAAAAATGATGGTGGAGGTGGAATTTTGTTTGAAATTCATCAAATTTTAATCCACTGCGTGCATTTCCATATTTCCATATTTATCTCTTTGCGCTCCTAGCATCCACTCCTTCTCTGCATATCATTTCAGCCCTATTTATAGCTCAAACTGCTCCTTACCTAATATACACATATACAGGCACTTTCGTTGTCACCAAGTATAAAAAAAAAAGGCATCCTCCTATCAGGTCCAATGTTCAATGACACATGTATCCCAAGGTAGATAGGGCTGTCAATGAATCACTCCATTCCTGCCGCAGTTGGTAAACTGACTGTTTGTAGCAGGAAACGGATGAGGCAGACGCTGGGTAGAGTCAGAGATAAGATGTAGGATTCATACTCTTCGTCTCCTCTCTATAATGAATCAGTGTATTTACTTAGAGCAATCTGCTCCTCTAAAATGGCCCTGCAATTGCTCTGTCTCCTCTAGAGCGTTGTCACCCCCCTCCCCTGCTTTTTTCTTCCTCCCCACCCCTCCAAAGGTAATTGCTCTTACCTGAGACACTGTAATGGATCCTGGATGAAGTATTGACCGCTGCTAGATTTTGATTAAGGGGCTGTAGGGCAGAACATGTCTTTAATGAAACTGAGGAATCAGCATTCTCTGGTTGGTGTGTCCAGGAGGGATGCTGTGGCCCACAGCCCCTTTGATTAGGACCTGATCCTTTGCAAATCCAGGGGTGGGCCAAAGCTGCAGAATTAAAAGGAATGAATTTATCCATTAATGATACCTAAAGCATGTGTAGTTTTTCTCTAGAGGCTTATAATCATTAAATATTTGGGTATTTACCGTGAGCAGTTTGCTCGCTTTTTTGCTCGCACATTAAAACACCAGCTCAGTCATCCACCTTGTTGCACATTGGCTGATATACTAACTCCCCCATCAACACCTTCAATCATATCCCCCTCTCATAGGTCACTCGTTATCAGTTAGAATTTTAAGGATGAAGAATAGCTTGCGTGGGTGTCTCTCATCCTTTCCTTAAATTGCCTCATTTTTTTCTTTTCTTTTTTTTTTTTGCTCGTGCAAAAAACTGATTGCATCTCGGATGGAGATGAAAGGGAAACAGCTAGCTCCCAACGTTCGTTAAGCGTGCAAATGGACATAATCTAAAAGGCGAGTATTAGCATGCTAAAAGACACCACAGCTATGATGAACACCATTTGCCAAGGCTTAATGCGATAGCCGGGTAAGATGATTAACTTTGAATCCATTTAATCAACGACAGGCACTTTCTCAAATAACCAACTGTCTGGTATTGGGGTAAAACTTCCTTCAGATCTGTCAGGGAATGGCTAAAGTAACAGATGTGTCAAATCACAGAGTGCTTGAATGAGATCAGAGGCCAGCCAAACAGTGTTCTTTGAAGTGATGGACATCAAACATCATTTTGTGCAGAGTATTTGTCATCCTCTCTCGTCTTTGAAGCTCACAATGGAGTGCGACTTGGAGCACACAGCAGCTCGATTTGACTGGGAAGTCAATGTGCCCTTGGGCGGCATCCTATTGACTTAAACAGTTCAGGTAGTGGGCTTCTCACCTCCTTTCTCACGTTGACCCCCGAGTGCATGCAGATTGCTGGCTCCCCCTAATGCGATGAGAATTCTGACCCCTTCACTCGGACCTCTAACCACAATCAAGAAATGCGTATTGTGAGAGATTATAGTTGTGATTGCTGTTACGGTACAGATTTGTTATTGCTACAGCATCCTGGATAATATAGTGTGTGAATGTGAGAGTGAATGAATATAAGCATATATGATGCTATATATATTTATTTATTTATTTTTTCGAAATATGGTGACATATTGATCTATAGATTTGTTCTTTAGTGAATAATGGGAAAGTGTTTATTAATGCCTTCCTCCTCTGTGTGTGTGTGGGATCCTTTCACAGACCTTGATGACCCGGTGGTGACAGTGCACCAGAGTATAGGAGAAGCTAAGGAACAGTTCTACTATGAGAGGACTGTATTCCTGCGCTGTGTGGCTAACTCCAACCCACCCGTCCGCTACAGCTGGCATCGTGGGAGAGAGGTCCTGACGCAAGGCTCAGACAAGGGTGTGGAGATCTATGAGCCATTTTTCACACAGGTAAGTCGACAGGAACGTGATTTGAATGAATATCTCAAATTAAAATGAATGGTACATGTAGAGAAAGTTGATCTATTTTAAAGGTCTAGAAGAAGGACATGGTATGACCAGGAATTATGAAACAAATGTAATAGCCAAGACAACAAATTCATCAATAAAGTGTTTTCAAATGTCAAGAAAGACTTCCACTGCGCCTTCCTATGTGACACCATGTGGACATGGCTCGAGGGTTATCCGCCATATTGGATGTGATACAACCATTGGTTGCTAGGGAAACGTGTTTTCTGATTAGTTAGCCGTGGCTCCTAGGGGGCTGGCTGTTACTCGTGACTGCTTTGGTTGCTAGCCGGTTGTCTGTTGATTTTCATGCTTTTCTGCAAATATTTGCTAATTACTAGCTGAGTGATAGTACAACTTGATAAAGTGCGACATGAACTTGAAATGGACGGGGTTTACATTCTCAGTCAAAGTTATGATTTAGTGCTGATTCCTTCTTACAAAAGGTGATACTTTTACCT